ATCATTCATATGTCAGACTATCATTCGTGTCAAACTATCATTCATGTCAGACTGTCATTCGTGTCAGACGGCTTTTGGCTCAGTCAATTGTATCCAACGGCCTTTGGCCCAATCATATGGCATAACAAATATTTGTCCCCAATTCAATGTAACAAACTTACAAGACTTATATGAAAGTAAGCAATTGGACAAATAACATACCTCAGATATCTTTATTAAGATATTACTCACAGTGATCTGCCGGTGGATTTGCCTTCGTGCTTGACCCTATACATTTCATGAACATAATGGATCACAAACGATTCATTCCGTTCTTAATTCATATATTCCTCTTAGGCTTCGTTCTTATCCTTTTAACTCATTTACAATGCTTAATGCATGCCTAAGAGTGTTCAGAAATGAAAGAGAACAGAAAATGAAACACAAAACACCTTTACAAAATTTCTGAAACAGGGGTCCCCGCTCGAGCGTGGGTTCCGCTGCTCAAGCGGACCCTCATGGTCTGCAAAAGTACTGGTTGCCTCATTTTTACGCTCGAGCGTGAATTCGGACGCTCGAGCTGAAAGTCCCACTACATGGCTCCCCGCTCGAGCGTGAATCTCCCCACTCGAGCGGACACCCATGTCTGCAAAACTTCTGGGAGCTCGTATTTCCCACTCGAGCGGCGCTTTCGTGAACTTCCCCGCTCGAGGGGACATCCATGTCTGCAAAAAGTTCTGAGAGCTCGTATTTTTCGCTCAAGCGGCGCTTTCCCCGCTCGAGCAGACATGCCAAATTCTGAAAAATCTAGAATTGTTCTTGAGGCTCAAACTTGATATTCAAAGGCTCCAAAGCTCGAATTTAGGTACCAAAAACATGAGAAATGCATACATAGCATGAGAGCATAGGAGATTTGGGACCAATTGTTCAAAACCGTGATCAAATTCTCAAATTAACCAACATTTCTTTTCATAGTTTCAAAACATGTGTACTCAACTTCATATTATCTCCATGTCTTCATTAATCAAACATGCATGTAATCTTTTAACTCTAATTCCATTTCAAATGGCTCAAGTGATGCCTACACACATAAAACTCATCCAAATCATGCTTGCATGTATGATCCAACAGCTTAATTCACATATTACATGCTAGATTATGTAATTTCATAGCAATTCTCTTCATGCATGAACACATGGACTTCAATCACAACTAATCAATTCTATTCATGATCTAACTTATCATTTAATCTTTAATTCACAAAATCACAACTCAAACTCATGAATTAAGGGTTGATTACTCACTTAGGAGTTTCAAACACTCAAGTTCTTTGAGTTTAGCTTCCAATTCTCAAGCCTTGAGCCAAAATTGCACAATTCTCCCCCTTTCTCTCTCTAGAGCCGGTCTCACTCTCTCACTAAAGTATAAAATCTGATTTTGAGCTCAAAACTTAAGGGGTGTGGGTGTATAATGGCCCTTATATAGCCCCTCTTAATCAAATTCCATTAGCACTAATTAATTGAGCACTATTTCATCAATTTAATTTGATCCGAATCAATTTTTAATTAAATTTCACCGTAGGCTCTAAAAATTACGTCGATCACAATGGCGTAGTCAATTTCGGTTTCTGTGGCCGATATGGCCTTCAATTTAAATTCAAAATCACATATATTCATATGAATGACACTCAGAATCATATCAAAGACATAATCACATTCATAATAAGGATCAATTAGCATAATACGGGGCAGGGTTATCACAGTTAACTTGGCCCCAAACTCTATCCGAAGTTGGAAGGAGATGGTCAACAAATGCCACTCTAAATTCTTTTAAGTGGCTGAGAAAGTGACCATGCTTACCTTTTATAAGGAAAAGCAGCGGGAGAGTGAAGACATTCTCGAATATGTGAAGAGGTTCCAAAACAAAGCCGTGGACTGTCACGAGGCTGTGGAGGAAAGTTACTTGGTCCAAATCTGTGTTGGAGGGGCATTGAACGGGTACAAGATGCGTATTGTTAATCACAAGCTACCCACCTTCTCGGCACTAATTGAAGCATCTCGGAACATCAACATACCTTAGTCTCAGGTGACCGAATTTGAGACTACTTATAAAACCAACTTCAAATCATCTCGAGGACCTTCTGTCACTGCGACTTCTGCGTCTTCTACCTGAAAGTTGCAGAGGGAGGGATTCAGAGGGCAGAAGAGGAATAGCTGCAAAGCTAACACTTGTTTTTCGTGTAGTATTGAGAAGGTGAAGGCCTTAGTCAAAGAATGGGTGATGGACGGGGAATTGAAGTTGCCTCATATCGAAGAGCTTTTACCGAAGAAGGATCGCAAGGGCCCTAGTTATTGTGTTTTCCACTAATCACTAGGACATCCTACAGAAAAGTATCGGACACTTAATAAGATCTTTAGAAAGAAAGTTGAAGCAGATGAGCTAAGTTTCAAAGAACAAGGGCTCTAGGATATCCTAGAAAACGTGGCTATGATGGCGTATAACAGGCCAATGATTAAAACAATTGAAAACTCGGAGGATGGGGAGCACTCCCTCGAAAACGCCCTCGAGCCGGAGGATGAGAAGCACTTGCTTGAATATGCCCTCAATCCAGAGGATGAAGAGCACTCCCTCGAAGATGCCCTTGAGCTAGAAGATGAAGAACACTGTTTCGAAGACACTTTTGAGCCAAAAGGTGAGAAAGTTTCTTATAGTGAACTTTTCAATCCAGAAGGAAGAGTTGGTTACGAAGCATCCTTCAATCCAAGAAGAAAGCATCATGTTTATATGCCATTTTACTTCAATGAGACTGAGGAGTTAGTTAACTATGATCCGCCAAGTATAGAGAAAGATCTAGATCACTATGCAAAGACTCTCCAGGATAATATCAAGTTCAAACAGTTCTTCAATCAGCTTGGGTTTTCTGGGGAAGCGAGAATTGAAATTACCAAGTCCATTATCAACATTGCCGAGGCACACCATGAGAGAGGTGTGACAATTGAGGGATCTATTCTAAGGAAAGCAAGGGAGCAGGCTGGTGCTATAATCTTTTCTGAGGTAGATCGAAAGTACCATTTTCCACACAACCGACCACTCTATGTGAGCCCTCACATCAATGAGGTTGAGTTCAAGAGGGCTTTGCTAGATAGCAGAGCTTCCATCAGTATCATAACCCGACCGACTCTAGAGAATGCAAGGATTTTCAAAAACCACATCGTGGAACAACCAGTAGTCATCACGGGTTTCGGAGGAGATGAGGGAGTTGCTCTGGGGTATGTGACAGTTGATTTGGTCATAGGGGTGATTCGCTCGGCCACTAGGTTTCATATCTTTGACTCTAAGACAAACAATCATATTATTTTGGGGAGGGCTTGGATGCACAAGTTTGGTGCCGTGCCTCAAGTTATCATCAATGTGTCAAAGCTAAGTTGGGAAATGAGATAGTGACTATAGAGGCTTCAGAAAGACTTTTTGGTACATCTGAGCCTTGTTACTCGGATGACAAACCAAAGGTCGAGTCAAGCAAACAGCCAATGTCCCAACTTTCCTCTTTGTCCAAAAGTACTCTTGTCCCTTGGAAGATGATAAAGGTTCGAGAATGAGGCAAGACGGTGTATTACTTATGAAGGTGTGGAGGATCCGTTTCTCCCATAGCTGGTCCCTAGTTGAAGGAAGAACCTCCCAATGAGGACATAATGTTAAAGCCCAAAATGGCTCCAGAAATGTATGGAAGATGGACCAAAGCCACAACTCAAGTAACTGGTGAAAGCTTTCCAAATGACCTCGCAACTCTAGGGACAAAGGTCAACATTTCGTAAAGGAATTCTATCTATGACATTTACAATTTATATTTACTGCATTGTCCAAGAAGTTTTATCTATCTTTCTTATGTTATGAAGAAATTTATTTCCTCCATATTGTGTATCTCCGCTAGAAGTTTATTTTCTCTATATTGTGTATCTTCATTATGTTACGTTGCTTGAGACAGTTTTCAATTTTTGTTGCCCCTCGAAGAAGAAGAAGTAGTAGACTTGGTTTCCAGCCAGAAAGGATCTTTCTTGCCAAAGAAAGGAGTGTGCTTCCACCCAGACTTCTGAGGGACAACCCTTGCTTCCATTAGTACGGGTTTCGAGGATTTTTATTGTCGAAAAAGGAAATGTGCTCCCACTCGGACTTTCGAGGGATAGCCCTTGCTTCCATTTGGACTTTCGAGGGACAACTCTTATTTTCATCAGTGCGAGCTTCAAGGATCTTTCTTGCTGAAGTAGAGTGTGTGCTTCCACATAGACTTTCAAAGAATAGACCTCACTTCCATGAGTGTGAGCTTCAAGGATTTTTTATTTTATTGAAGTAGAGTGTGTGCCCTACTTGGACTTCCGAAGAATAGCCCTCAAGACTTAGTTGCCTACCAGAAGGGATCTTTTTTGCCGAAGTAGGGTGTGTGCTACTTTCGGACTCTTGAGAGACAGTTTTGCTTCCATTCAGACTTCCAAGGGACAACCTTTGCTCTCGTTAGTGCGGGTTCTAAGGGCCCTGGGGTCATGGATTTCGTGCAAGAATTCATTTGCTTCAAATAGTAAAGCCGACAAACGAGATAAACAATATTCAAGCATTATCGAAATAAAGGTGACATCAACAATAGTAATGAACAACTTATGTTACAATAATTCTATTCTTCCGAGCAAGTTCATGAAAATGCAACAATAACCATCAATGCTTTGTCTCTCCAAGTCAGTTCCTCTCAAGCTGACGTAAAGCTACAATGTTCAAATCATGATTGCATTCTCTCTCAACACCAATCCTTCATTTTCAACATCAAGCCTCTATGTATGTCAAGATTATCGACACAGGTCCAAGATTCAACAAGGAACACTAGTTATTTCAGGACAAAAAATTACAGGATTTAAGATCCAAATAAAATTTCCACCGAAGTTCCCATATTCAGAGTTCATCAGAGTATTAAGTTCATTAGAAAAATGGAAATGTAATAAGAAAAAGGAAGAGGGCTTTAAGCAAAGATTCACCTAGATCTTGAAGCCCAAAGATCAATAGAGTAGGGTTTTTACAAATCTGAAACAACCAAGGGAATGGAATTAGTTGAAAGAAAATCAAAGCCCATATATATATATAAAGAGCTCACTCACAGATTTAGGACAATCGAGAAGATGAAGCCAATTGAATCAAGACAAGCTAAGGGATAACATAACGACATGAACGGCGCCGGAGTGAGCAAACGTCAAAGTCAACAATCCCAAATTGGCGAAGCAGCTGGGTAGACCAACGCTGTGTTAAGTAGGTGGCATGGTCGGCGCTGGTCAGTCGCGACTGCAAGTAGTGGTGAGGCTGCAAGTGACAGACGAAAAGCGCACAGGCCGTGCGAGCTGGCTGGTCGCATGCACAGGCAGGGCCGCAATTGGCTCTCACAAAGAAGGGATAAATCTAAAGATAATATTTTGTGTGATGGAGTACTGGAAAATGCTAAGAAGACCGGTGCTGTAACAGAGCTTTGGCAAGGGATAACGACACACCAACAATGGATATACTTCCGTCAAAGAGTTGGTTGATTGACGTTGTATGGAAGAAGAAATTGAAATCTTTTGGGTCCTTTGAATCTGGTATCTCACACAAAAATAAAAAATAAAGAATAAATAAAAGGTGTTTTCAAAGGATTGGAGATGGACATTTTTCAATTAAAAAAAAAAAAAAAAAAAAAGATAAGGACAAGGTCTTTGTCTTTTGGTTGGGTCCCTCAGATATTCTAAGAGAGATATGCATATCTATATATATATATATATAAAGCTTTTTTTTTCTATGACTTGTCATTTCTTTTCTTATTACGTCCTTAGCTTATTTTAAAATTGTTATTTTATTCTTTAGTTGGTTGGTAAAATAATTTGAGTGGTGCCATTTTAAAAGTTATATTAGAAATTTTGGTTGCTTTGGTTGTGAAGGTTTGTTTTGGGTTGTCTATTTTGCCCTTAGATTGTTTGGGAATTTCTTATTTTGCCCTTTTATTTTGTATAATTTATTAATGGTGTAATAATTTGAATGAAGGTTTTCTCATATATATATATATGCAAACATTCTAGTGAATTGTAAAACATAAATCTTTTATTTTTTAACAAATTACAAATACACCTATAATGTTTGTTTAAAATATGAATTAGTCCTATAATAATACAAATTACAACTATCGTTTGTTATAAATTTTAATTTAACCCAATAATTAGAAGAAGAAAAAAAAATAACTACTCTCCTACGCAATAATAAATTATCAAAAATTTTTATTGAAAAATATTTTTCATATCATTAAAAACTGTTAATTGACTTAATGCTTTATTTATTAATAAAATGATTGTTTGAAAGATATTTTTCACATTATTAAAAATTGTTAATTAACTTAAGAATTTATTTATTAATAAATTGATCATTTATTATGCGAGTATGATTTATTTATTAATAAAATGGGTCATTTATATATATATATATATATATATGTATGTATTCTCTTCTACTTCTTTATTAGTTTAGTTTTTTTTAGATGGAGAATTATCTTATCTCTTTTATACTAAAATGTATATTTTATTTTGTTTATCTTTATATCTTCACACTTAGTCTTACTGAAAAAGAAAAGAATATAATTATGTTAAAATGATAGAATTTCTTATATTTTTTTCTTGTTATAATTTATAATATAATTTATATAATTGTATCATATATCTAATGATTTATTCTATTTAATTTTATAAAATAATATTTTTATTTTTAAAAAATTATTAAAATATAAAACTTAAATATACTGTAATAATAGCTCGTGCCTTGCACGGGCCTTTGTAACTACTATATATACATATATAAACGGAGGTCTTTTGATTTGGACTTTTGCAGAATAAAAAAAAAGAAGCAAAGCAAAAAGTCAAGCTTAGACTTTTATTTATTTCCAAGGAATAAAAAGAAATAAAAAAAAAGGGTCTGGCCATTTCCTGGGGAGAATAATTTAATTCTTAATCATTCTTGGTAGGTGGAGTATTGAATATTCAAATTTTGTTTTTTCATTGAGAGAATAAATTAAAGGCATAAAAGTGTGTTTGTCAAACATGGCATAAGGATAAAAGATTCCTTCTTATCAATATTAGTTGACAATCTTATCTATAAATTATGATGAGTCATCAATCTTATCCAAAAGTCACATGAAGACAAAATATTCATGAGGGAATGATGCGAAGCATGGCCGAAGAAAGGAAAATATGCATGTTCGAGAATTCAAAATTTCCCATACATGCAAGGGGCAAAATGTATTAGTTTAGTTTTTTTTAGATGGAGAATTATCTTATCTCTTTTATACTAAAATGTATATTTTATTTTGTTTATCTTTATATCTTCACACTTAGTCTTACTGAAAAAGAAAAGAATATAATTATGTTAAAATGATAGAATTTCTTATATTTTTTTCTTGTTATAATTTATAATATAATTTATATAATTGTATCATATATCTAATGATTTATTCTATTTAATTTTATAAAATAATATTTTTATTTTTAAAAAATTATTAAAATATAAAACTTAAATATACTGTAATAATAGCTCGTGCCTTGCACGGGCCTTTGTAACTACTATATATACATATATAAACGGAGGTCTTTTGATTTGGACTTTTGCAGAATAAAAAAAAGAAGCAAAGCAAAAAGTCAAGCTTAGACTTTTATTTATTTCCAAGGAATAAAAAGAAATAATAAAAAAAAAGGGTCTGGCCATTTCTTGGGGAGAAGAATTTAATTCTTAATCATTCTTGGTAGGTGGAGTATTGAATATTCAAATTTTGTTTTTTCATTGAGAGAATAAATCAAAGGCATAAAAGTGTGTTTGTCAAACATGGCATAAGGATAAAAGATTCTTTCTTATCAATATTAGTTGACAATCTTATCTATAAATTATGATGAGTCATCAATCTTATCCAAAAGCCACATGAAGACAAAATATTCCTGAGGGAATGATGCGAAGCATGGCCGAAGAAGGGAAAATATGCATGTTCGAGAATTCAAAATTTCCCATACATGCAAGGGGCAAAATGTAAGAGGCATTAACTTGAGCCCACTAAATTGATTGGCCCCAATCGAAGCCTAATCGAAAAACCCAAAAATTGGTGAGCTTAGAGAAATTATTGCCAAATGGGCCCAAGTGAATTCTATTGAACAGGTACACAAAAAGGCCAACAAATTGGGTCAAGGAAAACCCATCAAGCATATATATCTAAAGAGAGTCCAACAAGCTCGTCCGAGGAGGCTCAGATCATACAGGTGTCTGAGGAGGTTAACCCTTGCTTTTAGAAGAGATGAAACCTTCGGAGGAGATCCATTCTCCGAGGTATTGGCTTAGTCTTGAAAGGGTTCGGAACCACGAACCTAGAGACCTATTTGAGCTCAGACTTGAAAGGCGGATCCACGAACCTAGAGATCCGAAACACTTGGCTCCGAATAGATTCAAATGCAATCTAAAAGTCACTCCGTTAATGAATCCCAGAACAATTGCGGGCTTGGAGCTTTCTGGGATCTAGGCACTAGAACTATGGGCGTGATGGAGTCTGAACAAAGGACTCGATCCCGAGGACGGTGAGTGAAGATAAATTTACTCTTCGGTTAAACTAGCCTATACCCAGGTCGAGGTGGCACGATCTAGGGGGTCCTTGAGACTCGACAATATTCGTAGCAGGGCGTTCTCTTGAACTACCCCTGACCCTTCTACAGTAGGACATCCTCTGGGACTACCCCTGCCCCCTTGGGATAATTAGGGATCATTGGTTAGGTGTGGCTAAGTAGAAGGGTTCGCCAAGAGGTTGATCTCCTTTTTGGGGTTTTCCTCATCGTCGAAGAGGTCACCTCATTGGATAAGGTAGTTAAAGGGAATATCCATCATATATCATGAGGTGTCTATAAATTGCATCCTGTAGATGTCCCCGAACGTCCCGGGAGGGAATCCGTTTTTGTTTATTGGGCTTACTACAGTTCAGACTCAATTGTCACGGTCCTGTATCTAATCTTGCAGAGTACAATGCAAGACCGATAAATCATCAAAGAGTCCAAATCCGGCAAATCGTTTTGAAAAATTAATTTTTAGAAAGAATTGCCAAACATGGACTGTTTTGCTAGATACAGAGTCGCCACCTAAATATTTTATTTTGGGAGAATTTGGGAAACCCTGACTCGTGTCTAAGGCCACGTGTCCGTCATCACCAAAGTTGCCTCGGCTCGAGAACTTGGGTACGATTGGGAAAGGTCACTTCGTGAGCACCCCCGCTCGCCCGATCAAAGATCGGCCTCTACTAACCATGATATCAAGTTTTTGAAAACACATGTGCTCTTATTCCGGTTTATTAGCCTAGAATTGCTATGTGATGCGCACAGCAAAACAAGTATAGACTGGATTGCTTAAGTTGGAACAAAGCATCGCATATCCATTTGTTTCGAAAATGGATTGAAGTTTGCAACTCGCAAGTAGGCTAAAACACAGGTTTCGACGAATTATTCCAACTCAAGCAACCCAACCTTCACCCACAAGCATTCAGACCAGGTATATCACATAAGCACATAGTCTCATAGTAAGCATGCTATCATGGCAGTCACTCACATACATGCAAGTATGCTAAAGCATAAATACTTACCGAGTACTCCAAGTCAAAATAGAAACTAGTTAGTAATCAATGCATGATCCTAGTTCATGTTAAGAAGGCTAATGCAACACATGCAAAAATGCAACTAGGATAGGCTCGGCTCTTCTGAACATGGCATATGAAATGTAACAGATAACACATATTTAACTTGGAATTAGAATACAATGCAGTTAGCATGATGCGGCGAGCCCGGTGCATGCAATACAAATGAATGATGCAAACATGCGAGCATAAGCATGCTAATTGAAACATGCCCTAAACTAACCATCAAAAGCTAGTAAATAAAAGGGAGAAAGACGTGGGGTTGGAAGACATACATCACACACACGCACACTTATTACAACATTGCCCTCCTCGGAGGATCCGAATAATACAAAACCAGATGAACAATGAACTACAACTAATTATTACACGACATTAACTAATTAACAAACTAGCTAAGTAAGCATGTAAACTAAATGAATGTGACTACCTCGGCTCTGTTTTGGATGACAATGGATGCATGCATGCTCGAGTTGCCTCGTCGGGAAATCCATCGCGATGCTTCATCCCGCCTTTGTGTGCAATTTATTTCAGAAACTTGTACGAAGCTCCAAGAGGCTGAAACTCCACTCTGGGAAGTTATGGAAGGGCTGCCGACTAGCCAATGGCATGGGAGACCACCTGCCAACCACCCCTTTGTGGTGGAGACCAAAAAGGGTGGTCGGCCTTCCAGAAAACCTGGTCGATCGACCACTTTCTGCCCCTGGATTCTGGTTTTCTGTAACACAAAGCAATAGGGAAGCATGGCAAGGTATTTTTGAACAAATGTGTGCTCGACCACTCTCCCTGTCATAGCATAGGCTCTAGGGAGTGTAACCCTCGATCCTCGGACCACCAATCACGCATCTCGATGCATGATGGCCGAGGAGTCGGATTGCACGACTTAATGTGACATGAATGCACAAATAAGCATCTAAAGCCAACAACTCTATCATGG